AAGAAGCTCAGCGGTCTGCCGTCTCCAGAGCCCTATCCTGCCCCTCTGGGGCGTTGCTGCCTGCATCCTTACCTTCCTCCCAGGCCTGGCAGTGAGGGGGTTCAGTGGTCACTCCTGGGGCTTCTCAGAACCCCCAACATTGATGTAAAAAATCTGGTAACCTGAACTCAGAGCAATTCAGGTGGATTGACTGTCACTTCCCCCAAAGCAAAGTGCTCCTTAGATCTCTCACTAAATCTGTCCCACCCTGACATAGGTGAAGGTGAGATAACAATCTTCTGCCTCCCAGAACATTCCACCACCTGCCTCAGGCAGGAATCTCCCCTTGCCTGTCTTACAGACTGTGGCTGAAGAAATCCCTCCTCATCCAGTCACCCCAGGTCTGTTGCCTCCCCACCAAGAGCTCTGCCCAACAACATCGCCTTGCCATCAACTATTACTCAAGGCTCAACGCCAAGATGGAGGGCAGCCAGGATGGAGGACAGCCAGGAAGAAACAACCCTAGCCTTTTATCCTGGCCAGGGCAACTCACCAAGACATCTCAGGGGCTCGAAGGGAAGGGGAAGGCATGGTTTTGGCAGGGGTGAGCTTGGCATGAGCAGAGGCTGGCAGATCTTTGCTAGAAGGACACAAAGCTGAGCCCTCAGCCAAATAATGGGCCTTCAGAGCTCAAGTTTCACTCTGAGTCAACAGCCCCCTTAGGAGAAGAGCCCCACCCTAGTGGCCCACCCTGTGTGTCATCAGCCCCTCCCCAATGCCCTTTGCACTGCCCCTAACACTCAACCGGATATGCAATCCCATCCCCCAGGAGGGTCACCCCTGCCTTAACACAGCTCCCATTTCCTGCCCCTGGTGACTGCTCTGAAGTCTATTGTTCCCATGAAGTTTGGGTCAAAGGAAGCCCGGTCCCCACCCATGGGGGCTCTGGCCTGCCCACACCACACCAAGCCAAGGAGCTCGCCCACACTGGAGTCCAGCCCATCCTCCCGCCTCTACAGGAGAGGCCTGTGTTAAACACAAGAGGCTATAAGCACAGACCTTACTTAGACTGGAGGGAGTCCTGATGGAAAATTTCCCAAAGGACCTGTCCCCACCAGCTGAAGGTCCCCAAACCAGATCACACAGTTGATTAGAATAGCACTGATAATCAGACAGGAAAACCAAAGCTAGGAGAAAACTGTCATTTCAGAAGAGGTCAAGGCAAGGCTGGAATCAGAATACAGCAACTGGAGATTGACTAGGTGCTCCCAGCAACAAAGCCAGGCCCTGCCCTGCCCTGCACTGCCCTACCCGCCCACCCCAGCCTTCTCCGCCTCCACCTGGGCCCCTGGGGCCGGGTGCTAGAGAGCAGCTGTTCAGCTCCAATTTCAGAGCTTTAAACGGAGCAGTCTCCTAACTTCTGCCAAGAGAGGGTCATGGGGCAAAGGGAGACAGGCAAGGTAAAGCCACCCTCATAAGCCCTGAATTTCCAACTGCCACTAGACTGGCCTCAACTACAGGAAGGTAAGGCCCAAAGCCAGGGACCAATGTCCTTTACTTCCACTGGGAAGGGGGAGGAGGAGCCACACTTTTAGCAATAGGGATTGCTTTGTGACAGTCACAGGCACTAGACCAGAATGGAAACCAAGAAAGTTCTGTGACATTTGCATCCCAGATCTGAAAAGACAGGGAAGGCTGAGGTTGCTCAATACTCCAGGCCCTGTCTTCTACCCAGCACCAAAAAGAAGAAAATAAAAAGATAGGAAGCTCTTCTCTACCTGGCAGAGTAATGCATATATCTTGGAGGAGGAAGAAGGATATATCTGAAGGATCTCCTGAGGCCCCTTCCAGACTCGACCTGTGTAGATCCTCCTGTGAAATGGCTTCTTCCTCTATTGGGCCAGAGGAGAGTATATCTGCCTCCAACAACCTTATCTGAGCCACAGGATGGTAGGCACCACCACATAAGACTAGAGCAGCCTCCAGGCCTGGACAAAAGTGGCTGGGGAGATGAGGATATGGGGGATATGGGATACACCAGCGGGAGAGTGCAAAAGGGAAGGGCATGGGTTCTACTGTCAGCTCTGCTGTTCACAGGTTGCATGATTTTAAGAAAGTTATAGTCCCTCTATGGACCTCAGTTTCTCCATGTTTAAAATGAGGGAGTTAATGAGCCAGATGCAGTGGTACACACCTGTAATCCCAAGGCTGAGGCAGGAGGATCACAAGTTCAAGGCCAGACTCAGCAACTTAGCGGGACCCTGTCTGTCTCAAAATAAAAATAAAAACGGTTGGGGACACGGCTCAGTGGTTAAGCATTCCTGGGTTCAACCCCTGATAACCAAAAAAAAAAAAAAATCTCATACAACCTGAAGCCCTTGGTTCAATCCCCAACACTACAAAACACAAACAAAAAATCCACACAGGGGGAAAAAAGAGGTTCCTTGCTATAATAAGCTTAAAAAATACTGGGGACAGTATCAGCTGGGGGATCCCTGGGAATGTGCAGGGCATTATCCTGGTAGGTGCTTCTCAAAGTTCAGTTTTCACAACAAACATTCTGGATGGGTATTAATTAACCCTTCCCTTCTTGATATTATCCATCAGGATACTAAGTCTGGGGCTTTAAACTTACTATTGTTATTTGTTATTTGTGTGCGTGTCTGTCCCTAAACCTGTGCCCTTTCAACACTGGGTGCTGCCTATGAACTAACTCCACATCCGGCCTGAGCAGGTGGGAGGGTGAGGTAATTCCCACCACAGTAGCTCCATCCTCAGGGTGGATGGAAGGGCAAAGACCAGAGCCTGCCCGACTCTGACAGTTTCTCCCTCCTTTCTTCCAAGAAGCCCTAAACATGATATTCACATCAGGAATGAAGGAAGAATTATGAAGCCAGATCTGCCTTTGATGAGCCCCTCCTGTCATTGCCCACCATATACTGTGTCACTCCTGCCAGGCGTGCAATGAGCTACTCATTCTTCTTCCCACAGAAGTGGTCAAGCAAGTTGTAGAGAATGAGAGATTCGGGAGTAGGTGTGTAGCCCCTGTGGTAGAGCATTTGCCTAGCATGTAAGAGACCCTGTGTCCAATCCCAATAACACACACACACACACACACACACACACACACACAGAAAGAAAGAAAGAGAATGAGGGATTCTTCCACTTGATTGCTTGGTCAACTCCAGCATTGAACCAGTAAAAGTAGTTCACAGCTGGTAAACATCAACACCTGTTTGTCCTTGGAGTCAAATAAAAGCACTATCTACACACATCTCAACATCCAAAATGGTCTCTTTCTTCTGAGGGGCTCACCCCCACTAACATTCCCAACAAACCACCCCATCACCTAAATGCAAAGATCTCAACTTCCTTTAGCCTTCCACCAGTCTGTCCTGCAAACTATTCCAAGCAAGGACAGAATCCACTCTCCGGCAGAAAGACAGCTGTCTGGGAGAGGCAGGTGTAGACAGCTTTCTCTCAGCTCTGGCCAGTCCAGGGTAGCTGGGAGCCTCCGGGCCACACACTCCAACAACCAGTCAATTCTTCCTTGTATAAAAAAAAAAAAAAAAAGAAAGAAAGAAAAAAAAAAGACACTGTCCGCTGCTCCTACTGTACAGGGAAGAAGAAGTCAGAACTATAATCAAAATCCTCATGGAGAAAACTTTTTAGAGAAGAGGCATCACACAACCTACCTACTCAGGCACTCAGACTCAGCACCCTCTTGAAGCAGAAATATGCACACACACTGTCACTCACGTTCACACAAACAAATCCACCTACTGGAAGCCAAAGTGAGTCATAGACAGACATCACCCTCACATACACCCAAAGCTAAGGAGGCTGGCACAGTCAGACGTCACCTGAACCCACTAAGCAGAGACACCCAGTGTGTCAGGAATCCTCTTCCTCGCATATGCACAGAGGCATGCTCCTGGGTGGCCTTCAGGGGAAGTGTTTGGGAGTTCTATTCCCCTGGTCCACTAGTTCTCAGGCTGAAAGGTGACAGCTTCACAACCCCTGGGGAGCAGGTATTTTTGCAGATGTTCCCCACTTTTCTCATCGCCTGAGCCCTTAAAACAGCCAGTACACATCCCTTCAAGATTCTCTCCTCCAAGACAGAAAAAGAGCCCAGCAGAAACGGGGCTATGGGTCCTGAAACAATTCTGTCGCCAATGTTCTCGCTTCAGCCTCTCTCTGGTCCTTTCACAACCCGGACCCCATTTCCCCAAAGTCCCTGGGCTCCACTGCCAACTTCCCGACCCTGTAATCCGCATCGCCTCTACGATCTTCAGCGGCGCAGCCTCCACGTGCCCTGTTCTTTTCCTCGCCTGGTCCCTGGATTACGTTAGACGCCCGACCTCTGGCAAAGTCTAATCAGCTCCCGACTCCCAGCCTTACCGGTCCCGGGATGCGGGAGGTGGGGTGGGCGCGCGCTCCGCCAATTGCAGCTGGTTCGCCGCGAGCGCGGACTCTTCCTAGCCGCGGCTCGGCTGCGTCCCGGGAGGCGGGCAACCGCACTGCAAGGACGGCAGGGGGTCAACCAGCAAAGTGCGGGGGCTCCGGCTGAGTGCCGCGGGCCGGCGAAGGAAAAGTGGGACGGCGGGACGGACCCTCCCCGCTCCGCCAGAGCCTAGCTTGCAGCTGCCGGCCCCGGTGTGCGGAGCGGAGCGCGCGGAGGGAGGAGATTTCCCAGAATGGGACTGTCGGGAAGACGCGAAGATCCCGATTCCTGGCGGAGTGAGTCAACCCGGAGAGGAAGGGAACGCGGGGCGACTGCTGCGGACGCGGGGAGCGGACGGAAGGGAGGAAGCGGGGGAGAGGGCAGGGAGGAGAGCGCCCGAGCACGAAAGGAAGAAAGCGGCTGGACGAGCGCGCCTGCAGCTCTGGAGTCCAAGGCGGGAAGACGGACGGCGGCAAGAAAAGAGCACCCAGAGGGAAGCACGCGGCGCGGCGGGCGGAGGGCGCACGGTCGGAAGGGGGCCCCGTGGGGCTGGGATGGCGCGGCGGGCGCCACTCACCTGACCGGGATGCGGCGGCGGCGGGCGACGGAACCGGGAGCTGCGGCCCTCCCCACCCCCTGGCTTCAAGTTTGCCAGGAGGACGCCTGGAATGTGCGGAATGAAGGCTGGTATGAGATGCGCGCAGTCGAGGGAGGGAGCCGGAGGGAGTGGCGGCCCTGCCACCGGCACCTCGGGGAGGAGACTGGGACGCCCGGGAGGGGGCGGCCGGTGAGGGGCCGGGCCGGGCCGCGGGGCGGGGTTGGGGCGGGTCGCTGGCAGGCGGCGGTGGGGGAGGCTGAGCGCGCCCAGGCGGGGACGCGGGCCTCGAGATCCCAGTTCTGGGACCAGGACCTCTGCGTCCAGCCCAGTCGCTCCCCGCCACGCATTTTTCCTTTGATCTCAGCCCCAGTTCGCTTCCAACTCTCTTCGCCCCTCTGCTTCTTCTCCTCCGGGCGGAGCCCCGACTCCCTTTCCCCGGAGCCTAAAACTTTACTTTCTGCCTGAATGGGGTGTCTCCCAGGAGGACCCAGCCCCTGCCTCCGTCCTGACACCCTCGGGGTGAAAGACCGGGGAAGGGGCGGGCGCCCGGCGTGCAGGAAGGGCTGCTCCCTTCCCGCGACTCCCAACGAAGGACACTTCTTGCTCCAGGGAACCAGGAAGCAGGAACTCTCAGCTCGACTCCCAGATCCGCCATTGGTGCCCCCACGCTGGTCCTCTCCTTTCAGTTGTCCTCTGGTGTCCCTTAGGATCCGCAAAGCTGTCACTAGGAAGAATAAAGCACGTGGGAGAAAGCAGTCAGTGTGAGATCCGTGCGGTGTGGCAAGAGACTCGTTCTGGACTCAGTAGTAGTAAGTCAATAAAGATTTATCCAGTATGTACTATGTGCCCACTAGTAAAAACAGGAAGGACAGGACCTCAGCCCCTACCCTCAAAGAGCTTGTAATTTAGCTGGGAAGACTAAAGGTACAGAAAAGTGTGTTCATTTAGTGGGTGTCTGGATCTTAACCATGCCAAATTAATTTAGGGGAAGAGGGATACAGGAAACACATGAACTCCTGTATGGAAATCTTCAGAACACATTGACTTAAACCTTGTGGCTTTGGGAGACTTGAAACCAGAGGACTTGGCTTTTTTTTTTTCAAAAATCAAATCCAACCTCTAGAGTGATATCGTTGAACCTTGTATTGAAGATATTGTCCAGATCTCTTCTCCTTTGCCAAACAGTAAATTTATGTCTGATTTATCTTGTTTTTCTTTTTTTTTTAAACTAGGGATTGAACTGACCATAGGCTACCTACCTTTGTCAATGCTGCTCCACAGAACTTATCCTTCAAGAGATGGAGGATAAGGAGGCACTTTACCATTGACCTATATTGCCAAACCTTTTTCCTTTGTATTTTGAGACAAAGTCTCATGAAGTTACTTAGGGACTTGCTAACTTGATGAGGCTTGCCTGAAACTTGCATCCTCCTGCCTCAGCCTCCTGAGTCTYTGGAATTACAGGCATGTGCTACCACATTGGGCCTGATTTATCTTACTTTTGACCCAGCACCAACATGGTGCCTAGGTTAGAAAAGTGCATAATACATACATATATTGGTACCAGGGATTGAACCCAAGGGCTCTTAACCACTGAGCCACGTCTGGCCGCTAGCCCTTTTTATTTTTTTTATTTTAAAACAGGGTTTCACTAGATTGCTTACAGCCTAAGTTGCTGAGGCTGGCTTTGAACCTGCCATCCTCCTGCCTCAGCTTTCTGAGCCATGCTATTACAGATTTGCACCACCACACCCAGCTGAAAAGTACATAATAAATGTTGAATGAAAAAAAAATTGCTACCATGGAAGATACTGAAAAGATGTACTATTAAATGTCAGAGTTGTATCCAAGAGGTGTTCCAAAAGTCCAGACAATGCAGCTAGACTGTCTGCAATCTTCCAAGGCAAAGAAGACTGAGGAAGCAGCTGTCATTTGGATATATAAATGCTTGTTAAATAATGAGTCATATCAAGGCTTGGTCACACCTCATACACCTGAAAAGACCACAACACAAGGCAGTATATCAGCCCCATGTGGAGTACAAACTGTAAGGACTACTTAATTCAATAATACTGTGTTGAGTGACTATTGACTTTGACACCAAGCTAAGTGCAGGAATAAGTCCCTGCCCTCAACAAGTTCAGAGTCTAGGTGAGAAGATAATGATTATGCAAAATTCAATGGTAACTCAAGGAAAGGAACAATGAAATCCAAGTTACAGGGTTCCATTTGCTTCATCTCTTGAAGGATAAAGCCAAATTGAGACTGGAAACCCTGCTCAAGTCCTGTGGAGCAGCATGGACAAATGTAGGCCCGTGCAGGCTGTTTAGGAAAGGTGTGTGAGCAGGAGAATGAGATGTGAAGAATGCAGTTAAAAAGGGGGAGCTGGGGGCTGGGGTTGTGGCTCAGTGGTAGAGCACTCACCTAGCATATGTGAGGCCCTGGGTTCAATCCTCAGCACCACATAGAAATAAATAAATAAAATAAAGGTATTGTGTCCAACCACAACTAAAAAAATATTAAAAAAAAAAAAAAGTGGGAGCCAGGTTGGGAAGATAGTTGTATGGAGTTTTGGCCATCATAAAAGCCATAAAGTGCCAGGCACAGTGGCACTTGCCTGAATCCCAGCAGCTCCCAAGGCTGAGGCAGAAGGATCAAGGTTCAAGGCCAGCTTGGGCAATTTAGTGAGACCCTATCTGAAAATAAAAAAATAAATAAATAAAAAGGGCTAGAGATATAGCTTGTGGTAGAGCGCCCCTAGATTCAATCCCCAGTATCCTAACAACAGCAAAGCCACTTAGACACAGTTGTGACATATTCGGCGCCACTATCAAGAGACTCTGGCAATAGTCTTGGGGGTGATTCAGAGACTTAGGGTGTCCTAAGCTCAAGGAGTGGTCCTGAAGATGGCAAGTCTGAGTCCAGCCTCAGCAACTTAATTAAGGATCTGGAAGTAGACCAGAGGCAAAAATCTGCTGAAACTGTTGCTTAGAGTTTGTCTGTAAAGGTGAGAGAGAAAATAAAAATGGGCTAAACCTTAACAAGGGAGCAATGGATGGTGTCATTACTGAGATAAGAATTCAAACAGCAAGGGATTCAGGTGAGGTGGAAGGTGAGTCCTGGCCAGGTTGAGAGGAAGGTAGGACAAGGCAGAGTAGAAACAGGAGAGCCACCCTTGGGAGTCACATTCAGCACAGACTATTCAGAGGGAACTTGAAGTTCAATCTGTTTTCTTTCTTTCCCCCAAATTTTAACTATCCAAAACCAAGACCGTCAGTGGCCAAAGCTGGAAAGCTATGTCTTTAGGATTTTGGCTTCCTAGCCTCACCTTCCTTCATAGACTTACCTCCTAATAGAGAATCTTTGGGAATTTCACACCTGAAGCAGTTGAGGATCCTCTGAGTAAAGAAAGAAAACTGATCAGATACGCCTATTCTGAAGGGTTAAAGACTGACAGTGATTTTAGACATAGAACCTGTCCTTCCCGGGGTAGTCCCACTTTTTAAGGGATCACCCCCTCACTCACTGATCCCTAGGAATCAATCTATTGATGGAAATATTTCATCAGTTTGCATCAAGCTGGAAGAGACACAAAAATGCATCATGTAATCCACAACTCTCCTCACTTCCTGGTGATCCAGACCACTCTAATTCTACAAATGGATTCTCAATCAAGCTTGCTGATGGGTGGTGCAGGTGGAGAGCAGCAGGGGTGTGGTGAGAGCTGGTTTTGATGTGGGGAGGGTATTTGTGTTGGTTATAGGCTGAAGTCAAAGTTAAAAATCATATTAATTACTGTTACCATATGTTGTTTGGTGTTATTTCCATTGGCATGGGGCGCTGTACCACTGTCATAAACTTTGTTTTTCTAACTCTCATAGGTCATAGTCAAACAAATTATCCATATGACATTTTGTAGAACAAATTCAACCACATCTATGTCATAGAAGTCTTTGCAGCTATTAATAATGAGATGTTTTAGATTTTATTTATAGTTATTTTTTGATGCTGGAGATCTAACCCAGGGCCTCCCACATGCTAAGCAACCTGCTACAGCCCGGGCCTCAACAAGATGTTCTTTTTAAATAAACTAGACATATATAAGTGGGAAAGCGGGGTCTAAAGACAGTATTTATATATCTTTATTTTTACCTCTGGAAGCTTGAAGATTGAGATTTCTTTATTTTCTCATGTTATTTATTTTGTATGACTAATTAGTACTTTTACACTTATATTCATTCATTCATTCATTCATTCATTCATTCATTTTGCAGCGCTGGGAAGATCCTTAAAATGCTAGGCAAGCACTCTACCAATGAGCCATATTTCTAGTCCTACATATTTTTTTGAGATGGAGTCTCACTGTGCTACCTAAGCTGGCCTCAACTCCTGGGCTCAAGCAATCCTCCTGCTTCAGCCTCCTGAGTTGCTGGAACTATAGGACCAGCCACCTTGCCATGTTTATACTGCTTTTGTAATCAGGAAGAAAATGGGATTACAACTACACATCTAACCCTTCCCTCGTTTCTCACTCCCCTCTCCCCATACTTCACATCTTTTAAAAATGAAATAAGCCCAAGTGCCCATAATCCCAGTGGCTCAGGAGGCTGAGGCAGGTGGATCACAAATTAGAGGCTAGCCACAGCAATTCATTGAGGACCTAAGCAACTTAGAAACACCATGACTCAAAATTAAAAATAAAAGGTTGGGGATGTGGCTCTCAGTGGGTAAGTGCCCCTTGGTCCAATCCTTGGTACCAAACATAAAATTAAATTAAATAATAAAAAAATGCTGGGGATAGTCCAGTAGAAGAGCACTCCTGCATTCCAGTCCCAGTACAATGCAATAAAAATAAATAAATAAAAAATAAAGATAAAATAGGTTCTGGGTGTAGCTCAGCACTAGAGAATGTGCTTGGCATGCTTTAGGCTTGGGTTCAATGCCCAGGACCAGAAAAACAAACCCAAACATACATATATCAAAACTTCACATTGTACATTGTAATTATATGTAATTTTTACCTGTCAATTATGCCTTAATAAAGCTGGGGTAGAAAGAGGTTATATAGCCAGGTACAGTGGTGCTCACATGTAACCCCAGCTACTCAGGAGGCTGAGGCAGGAGGATGGTGAGTTCAAAGCCAGCCTCAGCAATTTAGCAAGGTGCTAAGCAACTCGGCAAGACCCTGTCTCTAAATAAAATATAAAAAAGAAGGGCTGGGGATGTGGCTCAGTGGTCGAGTGCCCCTGAATTCAATCCCTAGTAAACCCCCCCAAAAAAAGGTTTTATATATATAGTTAGCACTATTCAATGATCTTTGAATCTTTGAGGTAACACCAACATTTACATCTTCCTAACTCTTCATTCCTTCTTTCAATGTCCAAAATGTTTGTTTCAACCATTCCTAAGTTTATAATACTAGCAAATTATTTTCCAATAAATCTAACCATGTTCCCCAAACAGACAAACAAAAACTGGCAACTGGGATCCAGTAGCCCAATAGATCTGACAAGAGCAGTAAGAGACACTGTTTCCCAACCTTCAGGTAAAAGGCAAACAACGTACTGTTTTTGAGATTTCCCCAAAGCTGCTTCCTCCCTTCCTCCCAGAGTTTATTGTGATTGACTCATTCCTACTCTCTCTTGCTCAGCTAAGACTCAGGTTCTTTCTCCCTTTTTTGTACAGTTCCGGAGATTGAACCCAGGTGAGCGCTACCACTGAACTACACCTCAGCCATTTTAATTTTTTATTTTGAGAGAGAGTCTTAATAAAATGCTGAGGCTGGCCTCCTAAATTGCTGGGGATTATAGGCCTGCACCACTGTGCCCAGCTTCTTCAGCTTTTTCTTTTCTTTTCTTTAACTGGGGATTGAACCCAGGGGAGTTCTACCACTGAGCTATACTCCAGTCTTTTTTATGTTTAATTTTGAGACAAGATCTCACTGAATTGCTGAGGCTGGCTTTGAACTCAGGATCCTCCTGCCTCAGCCTCCTGAAAGGCTGGGATTATGGGCATGTGCCACTGCACCTGGCTTCTTTTTCCTTTTAAACCTCTTTCTCCTACTTTTCCTTAAGTGGACTCTTCATCTTGTGTTCCAAGAACAAAATGGACTGTGTGTGTGTGTGTGTGTGTGTGTGTGTGTGTGTTGTGCTAGAGCTGGGTGCCTCACACCCTCACACATGCCAGGCAAGTGCTCTACCAGGAGTCTTCTCCTCTATTTCTGTAGAATAAAAGCAGTCAATAATTTGATAAGCATAATATTAGTTCTGTTATTTCTTTTTTTTTAATATTTTCATTACTTTTTAGTTGTAGTTGGATACAAAACCTTTATTTTATTTATTTTTATGTGGTGCAGAGGATTGAACCCAGGGTCTCCCATGTGCTAGGTGAGCGCTCCTCCACTGAGTCACAACCCTAGTCCAAAGTTCTGTTATTTCTTAATCAAAGAGCAGTAGAGGCCTGGAGTGGAGCTCAGTGGTAGAGCACTTGTCTAGCATGTCAGAGGTCCTAGGTTCCATCCCTAGTAAGACAAAAGAAAAAGGAAAAGCAGCTCTGGGTGTACTATACAGGGAATAGCACCCGTGACAGACTGAATCTGAACTGAGTTGTGTCCCCCAACCCCAAATTCACATGGTGAAGTGCTAACCCTCAGTACCTCAGAATGTGAAAATGATTTGAGATAAGGTGTTCACAGAGGTGGTTAGATTAACAGGAGGTCATCGGGGTAGGCTTTAGTTCACTCTTGAGTGTTGTTCTTATAAGAAGGTAAACATACACAGATCAAGGGATGGCCATGTAAGAACATAGGAAAGAGGGTGTGCACAGGTCAAGAAGAGAGATCTCAAATAAACCAAACTTGCCAGTACCTTGACCCTGAACTTCCAGACTCCAGAACTATAAGAAATAAATTTCTGAGCTGAGCATGGTGGCACATGCTCATAATCCCAGCAATTCAGAAGACTGATGCAGGAAGATCACAAATTAGAGGTCAGCCTCAGCAACTTAGTGAGGCCCTAACCAACTCAGTGAGATCCTGTCTCTCAAAATTAAAAAAAAAAAGAAAAGAAAAAAAAAATCTGTTACTGCAGCTTGAGCTGATTGATTTAGTAGTTTTCTAGATTGGGGGGAAAAAAAACTGGTTTCTGGCACCCCAGAGGTTTAAGTTTGCACCCAAGTCTCAAATGGGGATTGTTTCTTTTCTTTTCTTTCTTTTTTTTTTAAAGCACAAGTTTGTTTTTTTTTWAA